TATGATAAAACATGCATATATATTTACTTGTATACTAAAAGAAAACTATATTCTAGATTCTTCTCAGAAATAAAAATAAAACCCCTAAGAAATATTTCTATAGATATATAAAACCCATAAAAATATAAATAATATACTGAATATTTGCCTTTCTAGGTATACTTTCTAATTCAGAATACCCCTAACAAAAATAAAATTTCAATAGATGTACACGAGCTCTATATCATCTCTATTCTCTTCTCTTCCCAGGATAATCCAGCCAGGCCCAGTCAAGCCAAAAACTAGCAAGGACCATTTAGCCATTGTAAGGATTTGGCGAGCAGCGTGGCGGCGCTAATGCAGAGCTCAAATTCGCATAAAGTGTTTATCGGCAAACAAAGCTGAGGTAAGTGCACTGTCAGAGTGCTTAATTTATGGCATAAAAGGATAGAGGGACACAATCAGAGCATAGAACTGAGTAAAACAAAACACTTGAGCTAAACAATTCGCTGCGAGGCAAATGCGGAAGTGAGAAGCCAAAAGCGAAAAGTGCCAACAAAAAAAGAAGCAGAAATAAAAAAAAATCAAACAAACAAAGGGAAATCCAAAGAAAGCAGGAAATCAGAATGTGGAACGTGAAGTGCGAAGCGCTGGCAGCCAAAGTGTGTGAGGGGGGAAGCGGAAATTCATTGCCAGACGTTTGAAGTGTGAGAAATTAGCGCAATGCACAGACATCAGGCAAACACACACACACACACATACACACTCCCACGCAGACACACTGGCACACACAGACACACAACAATGCTTTGATAACTTTTAGTGTCATTGCAGACTCCTCGGGTGGCCGCTGGGGCGTATGCGCAATATTTGATTTACGTTTAATTTGTAACAACTTCCGATGCACATGCTCAGTCACTGATTAAATTTCCAATTTAATTTATATGCATGCACGCACACACGTATTTTGTTTAGATATAATTAAAGCACTCGGCTAATTACATAATTAAATTTGTTGTTAATCAGCAAATGCAGGTCATGCAAATGATGCGCTGCACTCGGCACACTTCACGCGTCTAATCAAACTGACTGAGTGACTGAGAGGGATACGCGGCGGCTACGCAATGTTTGCTGTGAGAGAAACGCGTCGTTCAGGCTCAACGATGCAGCGGCCACTGTTGCCGCCAGATGCTGTGTGATGCCTATTTAAGCAGCCGATGCCACAGCAACAGCAGCAGGAGTAACAGGAGCACTAACAGCAGCATCTAACAGCTTAATCTGCGCTCTCTTCTGCTGTTAAGCTTACGCTCTCAGCTGTTGGCTTTTTATGAATGAGTTTGTGTGCGCTAAACACAGCTCAGCTGAGAGCAGTTGCTTAACAGCGCGCTCACTGTTAATGCGCTGTTAGCGAACAGTCTCTCTGTGTGCGTGTGTGTGTGTGTGTGTGCTTTTTGTGTGCGTGCTGCCTGTAAATTATATTAAAATGATTCAGTTTTGTGCAGCCATTTGCTCAGCCTCTTTGTGCAAATTGCATTTGGGCAGCCCTCAGGCTGGTTGTTGTTGTTCTTGCTGCTGTCGCTGTTGTTGCTGTTGTTGTTGTTGCGATCCATTAAACGTTAACAGTGCAACAACAGACGCAACTTTACGCACACAGCGCCGTAAACGTTGGCTTTCTTTTTATGATTATTTTTGCGTAAAATGTAAATATGTAAATGTCCCGGCTCACACACACACACACATGCCAACGCACACACATGGCATCACTTCACTGCCTCTGACTGACAGGAGATGTGAAGCCCAGGCTGGGCCTGATGCTTGTTAGACATGACAATGCGTGTTTGTGTCAGGATAACTGTCAACAGTTGCCCATTCCCTCTCTCTCTCGCGCTTTTTGCCCCCTCCCGGCAGAAAAAAATCTCTTTTAGTCTCACATTTGCGAGTCCTTTCAGCTGCTAATTTCTTTTATAAATTTCATGCGCTACATTTACATAAAAAATCATTTTCATATTCATCAAGTGTCGCGCTGTCACACTTCACTTCGCGCGCACATATCTTGGCAATGTGCATAAACATAAATGCCGTTAAGCACGCAACAGTTGGCACATGTCCCATAGACGGACGAAATGCGATATACTAATATGATATATGCGTATGTATGATATATGGCATGAATATGTCATAAATGGCAACGCAATCGATTTGTTTCCGGCCACCCCAAAAGCCAACGAACTAAACGGAAATCAATGTGGGCTGACATCTGAAAAATGTCAATTGCCAGCAATATTTTCACTTTACGCCACAGACAACACCAACAACACGAACAGCATCGCCAACAACAACAACAACAACAGAAACAATCATCTATGTGAAATGATGAGGCAGAACAGCTTGACAATATTGACATCTTCCCTGTTGTAGTTGCTGTTGTCGTTGATGTTGCGGCACATACTTGATGGCCATAATAATTTAGCTAAGCCCAAATATGCTTCTACATATAAATCAAAATATAAATTTTCCTAGAATTCTAAATTATAATTCGAGTGCTCAGATTCTGTGCTCATTCACAATTAATTGCGTTTGATATGAAATAAAAGGTAATCCGAGATGGACAGAGGTAGAGACTGCACAGAGAGATGAGAAAGGCTGGCGGAGAAACAGATTCAATATTAAATATAGAAATAGGTGCTTATACAGATACAGATACAGACTGACAGATACAGATACAGACTGACAGATACAGATACAGACTGACAGATACAGACTGATACAGATACAGATACAGATACAGATACAGATACAGATACAGATACAGATACAGATACAGATACAGATACAGATACAGATACAGATACAGATACAGATACAGACTGACAGATTCCTCATCTCATAGCACCCTCTTCTTCTTCCTGCGCAGTCTTAAGTCTCTTAACTAAATCAAAAGTAATTTTAAATATTTTCATTTTCATTTTGTTACTAATGAGGATTGTTGGGTAGTTTAAGTGCTCCTCTCTAACGGTTTCGATTTCGGCCTTTTCGTTTATCGTGACACATTTAAACTGGCGACTTGAAAGAACGTTGCCAAATTTCACGGAAATTCGAAATGGCATTTGCCAGTGAACAGGAGGAGGGAGAGGGAGGGGGTTCTCGAAAATCAAATCACTTAAGTAATTGTTTTACAGTAAGACCCCACACCTGCATCCAGACTGCCAGCAGGCGTTTCCCTCACCTTCCGCTAAACATAAAATCTATTCATAGGAATAGGCAGGGGCTAGGGTAAAATTTAATAAAACTGTCAAATGCTTTTGTTTGATTTTATTATGCAATAATTCTCAGTATTTATGATTGTATGCGCCAAGTCCTTCAAATCCTTTTCGCCTAGGCAGTGCCATAAAGTTATGCCATAAATATTAATGTAAATTGTTTTAAATTTTTAAGTAGACCCCTGAAAGAGAGATTTATAAATTAGACAAAAGCAGGCGGGCCATAAAAATGATTCATTTAATTGAACATGTGTTTCCTTTCAGTCTAAGCCCGTACAAAAGTGCCCCGGGGGCTCAAGAGAGCCGCTGGGGGCAAGAGTGGGGGCGTGCCACAAGGCTGGATCTTAAGTTTATGCAAATTAAATAACAATTAGAAATTCTAAAGGACAGCTTTGTGTCACAGCACAAGAGTGTGAAAGAGAGAGGGAGGGAGGTAGGGAGAGAGAGAGCGAAAGAAACCCCTTCGTCTTATGGGGACGAGGTCAGCGGCTAGTGCCAAAGCTCATGGTCTGCCAATGCAAATGTCGTATGTAAATATTTAAAATGATTCTAAGCCTTCTCCCCTTCTCCCCTTTCTATCTCTCTCTCACTCTCTCTGCTTTATGTAAATTACTGCAGGCTGCTGCTACTGCTGCTGCTGCTGCTGCAGACACTTGTCAATGGCATTTGCCAGATTTGGTTGGCATACAAGCGAGTTGATTTGCATGCTGCATTTATTGCGAGTAAACAGGCAGCTGTGTCTATGTGTTTGAGAGCAATTTACCTTTGGCCAGCTGACCGCATAAGATGCTTTTAATTTAATTAACATGGCTTAGTTATTTGCAGGCTTACACAAAACGTATGTGTATGCGAGTGTCTATGTATTTAGCTGACCACGAAAGCAAAACGAAAATTAACCACAGGCCATTGAACAGTTTCGGAAAATTTCAGAATTTTCCTCGGCCACAAAAGCAATTTGAATTGTTGCCAATTTGAGGGCAGCATGCCAGGCTATTATTGCATTTAATTAAAGTTTTGTGCAGCTGCAAATAATTTAAGGCTCTCCTCATTTTTGCTTGAATAGAGCAAATAAAAATCACGTTTGATGCGATAAAAGCGCATAAATGGAGTGTTACAAAAAAATTGTGCAAACTTCTTGCCCAGTTGCCAAGGAAAGTTGACAAAAACAAACTTTAACAAACATGCAGACACACACAGATACAGACACACACTCAGACACACATATACTACGTAACACCCACACTCTGACATTTATGTATGAAGGCAAAAGTTCTGCTAGAACTAGCTACAAAATGCAAGCCAGTTGTATCACAAAAATGAACTCAACAAACAGCAAAAACAAAAAACTTTTCATTTTGCACAAAAGGCATTTTTATCGCAAAATGTTAGATGTTGTTGTTGTTGTGGTTGTTGCTGCTTGGCAAAAGTTGTCTGCACTCTGCTAAAATGACCCACACAATACGGAGGCCCTGAAAAGAGAAAAAGAAAAGTGTGTGATATTTTTTTTTTATTCTTATTAAAAGCGTAAACTTGAAATCAAATCATTTGCGCATTTCAATTACAAAGAAAAACTCTAATTGCAATCGCCAGAGTAGAGAGAGAGAGAGAGAGAGAGAGAAAACCCTTCGAAGGATAATAACGACGAATAAGCGAAGGCAGCGAGAAAAGCAAAGTAGAGAAAACTTATCGAAAGCACCTGCAATTAAGAATCGCGTCGTAGAATTAAAAAGGTAAACGCCAGAGCCGGCCTCTCGAGGGTGCTGCCGCGAAATGAAAGTAGTGAAAGCAGAAGCGCAAACTATGAGAGATTACTAAAAGCAATTTGAGAACAACAACAGCCCCAACCAAGCCATAGACAAAATGCAAAATGCAAAACTTGCAACGTGCAACGTGCAACGCTCCACAGACAAGTTGCCAGTTGCGAGCAGCCAGCTGCCAGTTGCCCGTTGCCAGTTGCCGGTTTCTATGGCAATTATGTTGCAGCGCGCTGCAAAGTGGCTAACTAGATGGCAAAGTCATTGGCAACGGCAACGGCAACGACAGCGGCATCAGCTACTCGTATCAGCCATATCAGCCTAAAGCAAGCTATTCAAAACTTTGCCACAAGAGAGCCGCTTATTAACTAATCAAAAAACTGGCAAGTAAAAGTAACTCCAATATGTGATATACTTATGACAAAAAAAAAATACAAAAAAAAAAAAAAAATTAAAAATTTAAAAAAAAAATGTAAGAA